CCCTGCTCTGCGGGAAGCCTGCTTCTCCCTCCTCTACTCCCCCTGCTTGTGTTCCCTCTCTCACTGTGTCTCTCTCTGTCAAATAAATAAACAAAAAATCTTTAAAAAAAAAAAAAGATAAAAATAATTGGCAAAACACATTGTTGTTACACAGGATCAGATGTACCTTATGTCAGTGTTCCTCACGTGATAGCTCTTTATCAGATTCTGATAGAAATAAGGATTCTATAGAAATACACTGATATGAAAATACGTCCACTGCATTCTTTTAAACGGAAAAAGTTCTTAACAAAAGAGGATGTGTATATGTATAAATACATATGTATGAAATATTACAAAATATGAACATCTCTGGGTGAAAAGACTGCAATTTTTTTTTCTTTTTTAACTGTAGTTTCTGATTTTTTCTGCAATGAGGAATATATTACACGTGTGGGGTTTCTTTTTTTTAAGTTTAAAAAACATGGGGGCGCCTGGGTTGCTCAGTTGGTTAAGCGTCTGCCTTTGGCTCAAGTGGTGATCTCAGGGTCCTGGGATCGAGCCCCTGCTCAGGGTGAGTCTGCTTCTCCCTCTCCCTCTTTTTTAAAAAATATGATACAGCATGGTCAGCCTGGAGAGGGGAGGAGAGGCCTTTCCCAGGAGAGGCGGGAAGCAGAGCACTTCTAATCACAAGCGGCCGGCTCCCCCAAGCACAGCCCATACTGCGCCTCTGCTGCCCCCGTGTGATTGAGAGAAGACCTGGCACCCGGAGCCCCGAGACAAGGAGGAACCAGGACCAAACTCCAAGGTTATCTTGAATAAATTCCTCTTTCCCTTTTCACCAATTCATGGTGTAGATTTGTCCCACTCGTGAACATGGGGCACGGGGCTTCTGCAACAGCAAGTGCTAGGACGGGCATTCAGGATGCTAACAAGACGGACACAGACTCTGGTAGGGCTTCAGAACCCAGAGATCCACTAGGGCAGGAGTGAAGTTGGAGGTAAGAAGGGTCAAAGCCTCGGGAGACTACTGACTACAGGGAACCATGAAACCAGAATCCTAAAGCGGTACTGGAAACCGCCTCCTTTACTGCAGGGGATTAAGGTGAGAGCGCCTCGGGCTGGTGGTGTTTACTTCTTCTGCCATCTGTCAGCGGAGCACCTGACCTGCTATTTGAGCATATACATTCCCAGAAATGCAGAGGGAAGCCCAGTGGGGTTAATATGTCCAATGTTCCCACTGATGGTAGTTTTAACTTATGAGAAGAAAAGCCTGCTGCCTGAGCATCAAATCATGAAGATGGAAGCCAAACTTAATGTTATTATCAAATGACAGCCAAATATATTTAACCTGATCCCTTAACAACTGCAAAATCATTATTAGGCATTAATGCTAAGCCTTAAAATGATTAAGTAATATTTTTCTTACCTAAAAGTCTATTTATCTGGGCTTGCATTGTTGGATCTATAACAACTAAGGGCAACAGGATCCCCTGACTAATGAACATTTTAATTTTTAAAGCATAAGTAGGCACTGTGTACACACACACACACACACACACACACACACATACACACACAAATTCTGGATTAAACTCCCCAACTCTTAACCCTATACCTTACCCCCTTTTTCTTAACCGTATACTTCAACCCCATAACTTGTGTGTTACCCAGGATAATGCTCAATATGTTTCTCCTATACTGAGGTTCCAGAGCCAGACTGCCTGCATTCAAATGCAGCTCTAGCATTTACTGTGTGACCTTGGGCAACTCACCTAACCATTCTGAGCCTCAGTGATCTCCTCTATATAATGGGGATATTAACAGGACCACCTCATAGGGCTGTTGGAAGGTTAAAGGAGTTAATATCTGTGATGTACTAAAAACAATACCAGGCAAGAAAGTGCTAGAAGAGCCCATTAACTCACTCTGTCCTATAATTACTTTTTAAAATGGGTTTGAAATGTCATTAATTTTTATAAGCAGTAATTTAAAAAGCAAACCTAGTCTCTTTTCTTTTCATGAATAAACACCATTTGTTACTAAAATTGGGTGACGATGAAGAGGCCAGTCCCTCCCTGTCCACCTCTAAAGTTGAATGTCATTTTCAGGAGAATCAGACTTACCATCCTTACTCTCCTCCAAGCTTCCTGCCATGTATTTTAGGAAAAGTAAAGAACATGCATGTGCGTGTGCGTGTGAGTGCGTGCATGTGCAAGTGCACGTGTGTGGCAGGAACAGGTGGGTGGAGTATGGCCGTCCCGAGCACCTTCCCACAACTATGCTTTCAGTGTGATCTCCTCCACTTTCCTCCCGCTCTGGTCCTGGATCTGCACCCCCTTTTCCCCCACCTTCCATTAGGCAGTTTGAACAGCTCCTTACTCCAGCGACACTCACCTGTTGGTGTTCTCCAGAACCTCTACCTTCTTCCGAAGCTCCAAGTTCTCAGTTGAACAAGACTCCACCCTACAGAGGAGCAAGAGAGAAGAAAATTAGTTGTATCACTTGAGCAAATGCAAAGCCAGGAGCTAGGGTGGAGGCAGGTGGGGTTTGGAGAAGGAGGACTGGGCATCAGCTACTCTAGGGAAATGAGGGACAGAGCCTGGCCAGCCTGAGTTGGGAAGAAAGGTAAGAAGACAAAAGAAAAAGAGAGAGAGAGAGAGATGAGTAACACGTGCCTCAGGACCAGAAAATAAATAGGGATGGTACAAAATGTAAAGTCCTTCCAGGGTGTTCCAACCTCAATTTCTTTCACCTCATCCCTCTCAATGCCCATGCTCTCAATGCCCATCATTCATCTCCCCCATACTACAGGGGCCTGGATGCTGCTGGCTGTAGTCTTGGCCAGAAGGACTGATAGGAAGCCAAGGGGCTTGGGACAGACAAGAGGGGAGGACAAAAACCCAGCACCTCAAGCCAAGGAATCCAGCTGCAGGAGCATGCAAGCCCCCAAGACCATCTTGACCCTGAAGCCTACAGAAGATAATGGAACAGAATGGGACTACTTCATGCTCAATTACCAATACCTAAACTAGGATGTAGAGACACGAACTTTCAGTAGGAATGTCAACAACCAGCAAGGATCCACTCCTCTCCCCAGACACATGGGAAGATTCATTTCTGGGTTGGGGGCCTCATTTCCATCTTAAATGATATTTGTTGGCCAGCCAGAGAACTATATTCTAAGGCTAATACAAAACTGCATTTCATTCATGTTTTTCTAATAGCCCTCTTGATGTTTTGGACTATTCAGAAGAACAAAAGCTGCCTTCGAGTGTTTTGTGGGAAGTCGCTGGCCTGCAGCATGAATTATAGTGGACGGAATGTATAGAACACCAGCCCGACTCACTGTACTGCCTACACTCCTTCTCTAGGGTGTGAGGGATTAATTAGCACTGCTCCCTTCGGCTGAAACAGTGCCTCTCCTCTGAGCAGAGTTCCAGGAACAGGAACGAATGTTACTGTTTGCACTTGTTTGAAAGGAAGCCTTCGAGGACTTACTCTGGTTAGAAATGGTGTGGTACCAATGCCTGCTAAGAGAGTGTATTTTTTACTTAAGGCCATACTTATAAGGTCTCCCCCTCTAAAAACCACTAGGTGGCAGGCAAAACATAGCTGATGAACCAACGAGCTTTAATGGTGGCCAGAATGAACTTCATCTACTTCTGGAAAACAGAAGCTTCGCGCACTCCCGTTTCCCTATGCAGACTACCCAATAAACACACCCAGTTGCGCAGGAGCCTTACTTTTTCTCCAAGCTGTCCATGTATTCTTTCTTCTTTCTCCTACTTTCTTGGGCAGAAATCTGAGAAAGAAGGGGAGAAAAGAGGATTAACTTCCTGCCATCTCCATAAGTCAGCTATGTGTACGTGGAAGAGAGGAGTCTGTTAGCACACAAATCACCAGGGTCCTGCTCATTTCTGTGGCCACTCTTCATTTAGATAACCTGCTGGCTCATCTGTGAGTCAACTCTTCTGACCTCCTTGGTTCCAACCAGCCTGTGTGGTCACTAGTTCACCAAACTGGGCCCCGCGTGGGAAGCATGGCAGGCCTGAGTCAGAACAGAACACGTGGGTCACGAACCATCTGTGTGGTCTTAGATAAATGATTTCAACTCTGTGGCCTCAGTTGGCTCAACTATAACTTATACACAGAGACGGTTGGGCTTGGTCAGACATAAGCCCCCTACTGGTTCTGCACATGGACCAAAAGTGGTAACTGGACTCTCTTTTTCTTTCTTTCTCTGCCTCCTGCCTTCTGGCCTGTCTGTGCCCTAGCCATGCCCCTTGGCCTCACCAGTCCTGATTTGCAGTGTAGGGACCTAGGGCTAGGAGACTCCTGAATCCAGGTATACAATAATAGACTACAGAATTTTTTTTTTAAATCAAAAACCTAGTAAAGAAAAAAATTAAACACCCATAATGCATTTATATCTCTTTATAAATTATGTACATGCCCACTAGAAGGAAATATTGTGTACATCATAAAACAGAAACTTAAAAGGCTGAGATAAAAAAAATTAATGGGAGTTCTAATGTTTTCCTGTCAGCCCTGAATGGATCCCCTTGGGCACCAAGGAGTATGCACACCCAGTTTGGGATCCACTGACCCAGAGGATGGGCAGAGGGACTGGAGGAACAGTCACCACTGAGGGGAAGGGCAAGGCTGAGCCTTGTCCCCCTACCCCCACCCCCATGAGATTGGCCAGTGTTGGCCACCGGGAAGAGGGGGAATGGGGGCATGCAGGCTTAATTCTGGTCATGGTCTCTGCTCATAGAAGCACCTAGATTTGAAGGGCTCACCTTGTTCTTGATTTTCCTCCGAATTTTCTTTAGAGCCTTCTCCTCTGATTTTGTTAGAGGCAATTTGGTGGGGATGGGATAGCCCTCGGCGATCAGGGTCCTTTTCTCCTCTTCTGTCAGGACCAGTGGGCCTGATCCTTGCAGTTTCTGTGCAGATCAAGGGGCAGAAAAAGGGTCAAAGCAGAACAACTGGGCATACTCAAGAAACTTGCAAATGTGGGGCGCCTGGGTGGCTCAGTCGTTAAGCGTCTGCCTTCAGCTCAGGTCATGATCCCAGGGTCCTGGGATCAAGCCCTGCATCGGACTCCCTGCTCCGCGGGAAGCCTGCTTCTCCCTCTCCCACTCCCCCTGCTTGTGTTCCCTCTCTCGCTGTCTCTCTCTCTGTCAAATAAATAAATTTAAAAAAATCTAAAAAAAAAAAAAAGAAACTTGCAAACGTCTGAGAGAAAAGGATGCTCGTCTGCTTCTGGTGAGAGATGAGTAGTTTGAAGAGGAAGCAAAGACGGAGAACACACTCTCATGTGAAGGTTACAACCCAAGGATTATCATTCAAGGGAAAGGGTGAAGAAACCTCCAGCCATCCGTTCCCAGAAGGTACCCCACTGGCTAAAACATCAAAAGTAACATTACAGGATTCATTTCCCACATCTCTTGAGATTTCATGGCCTTGGAGTGATGGAGGATTCACTTGGAGCTCTGATGATGAAAGAGTTTCCTTGTTCTCCCAAAAACACAATTTTCCAAGATGCTCTCCACACACCAGGGGTCACTTCTTGTCCCCCACTGAGAGCTAAGGGGCCAGGGCTCCCAGAAATACACCTACAGGCACATCCGATGGAAGTCTCTGGCTTGGGACAGTCCCAGATTGTCCATCATCAGTGAAGAAGAGGACTGTAGCTCATCTCATCCAGGCCATAATAGAATAATGTGTTTATACATAGTCAAAGAAGCTGAGCGCTGACTACATTTGAGCCCCACATTAAATGTCATGGAACACTCAAAACAAACTGCATTTCTCAAGTCATAGCTTGTAATCAAGATTGAGACTGAATTAATACACATGAAAGGCTGAGGACAATTAAATGCTACACTGTAATATCAACTCAAGGTGCATTCATAATCTGGGGAAAGAGACACATGAGTGTCTCTTTAGGTAGGAGAGGACACTTGCATTGGGCCTTTTGAAAGGAAGGGGATGATTTACATAGAGAGAGGAGGGCATTCCAAGCCAAAGGCCGTATTCTGAAAAGCACTTGAAGATGCTACTCTGTCTAGAATGGATAAGAAGTTCTTGAAATAGGGAAGGGTCAAGGCACCTAGTACTGAGTAGAGGTATTCAGATTTGATACCAAGAGCTAATTGAGAAATACAAAGAACACGCTATGGGGGTGTGACATTGGGAGGATTTCTTAACATGGCCACAGATCCAGAACTCTGGGACACACTGACTTTAAATCATCAAAATTATATTAATTGATAGATGGTTCTTATAGAATTTTTAAATATTCAAATTTTCTCTATGTGATATAAATTCAATAAGGTTGATAATAATTTTATGATTTTTCAAATTTCACAGAGATCAATGAACTCTTCAGAACAGTAAAATGTTAATTATCTGTCCCTATTTTTATTTGGAAAAAGGTGCCCTTAAGGATGACTCATGCTTTCTAACTTGAGTCTCTGGATTGGGAGTCGTACCACAGGAAAAAGGGGTTAAACTATATTTCTGAGCTTTCAACAACAAAACATTTAATCTCAGAGTTTTGAGTTCATCAAAGATTGTTTATTTGAAAAACAAGTTATTTCCTATTGTAGGCCATAGGATCATCTAAATTGATGGTAAGTATTTGGGACGTGATTTTGAGGAGGAAGGCAACACAACATTTTTACCCCTCATGTTTCTGGCTGTGTAAAATAAAACATACAAGTAATAATTGGAATGTACACAGGAAAAGGAAGAGGATTGTGTTAAGCATGGTGAGATTATAGGCAGGTCTTAAAATAATGTTCTTTAAGATGGCTAGCACCCTGTTTTAGCAATTAAACCTAAGACCTCTTTACAAGAACAAAAGTCAAGTGGCCTTGAAGGGCACGCACTCCTAGTGAAGTTCCAAGTGACCAAAGGGAAAGGGTTTGAGCCCCGAGCTGCCCGTGGAATACTCACGTGAGGCGCCGTGAGGAGAGGAGAGCTGGACAGGGCCGAGGGGGCCCGCGCCACGGCTCTGGCGGGGCTGTGGGTCTGAGGCAGGCTGAAGGGGTGCAGGCGCGGGTTGGGGCTCAGGCTGCCCTCCGAGTCACTGCTGTGGCTGCTGGGAGGGGTGGGAGGTAAGTGCAAGTGTTCCACGGAGGCTGAGGGAAAGAAAGTGGATTTCATCCATCAGACAGCAGCGAAGCAGGACTCAGGGGCAGTTAAACAGCTGGATGTCCACACGGCCGAACTCAGGTCAGCCGAACAAAGGGATGAAGATTCTGCATGTGCTGATATGGAAAGATCTCCAACAGATATTGTTGGGGGGGGGCAGCATCAAGGTGCAGAACCGTGTATAAAGTAGCCCTCCTTTTGTAGGAAAGAGGAGCGGAGGCAAATATAGACTCATATTTGCTTGTCTCTGCATAAAGAAATACTGGGAAATATATAAGAAATTAATAAAATTGGGGTGCCTGGGTGGCTCAGTTGGTTAAGCGTCTGCCTTTGGCTCAGGTCATGATCTCAG